TACTTTCAACTCTTGTAGATATTTTGTATGCTTTAGCAGATGGTCTAGTTTCAAGACTGCTCATTAAATGGCCAATTGTGATTACCATTAATTCATTGGAACCACTTATTAAACTAACTAAGCAGTTAGCTATTGTCAAATTTATCTTATGTTCTAAACAAATTAATTTATTTTATTGTATAAATAATAAATAACAATTGTAGTTTTTCCTACAAACCAATGTATTGTTTTGGCTTATCATATTTAAGTGTATCTGATCCACCAGTTTTACACAGTAGATCATTTAACCGATCTTTTTCTGATTGACTAAGTAAATTCCAAAATGTTTTTGATTTATCGGATGTTAAACATAGGCGATACCTGGGCTTAGTATTTATCGGACCCCACCATTTTGACTGGGATTCTTGAATTGTAACACTTTCTGGATTCTCTTCACAAAGCTATTTAAATTGCATTTAATCAACTACTTGATCTTGAAAATATAATTTAATATCAAACCTCAATTTTAGCATGTTCCCTCGCTAAAACTAAATTAAAAATATCCAATTCATCTTCGTGCATTTGCAAATCTATTTTTAATTCAGTATCATTTGGATTTACAAGAACTTTTTTGTACACATTTATGTAACTCTTATAATTTTTCCTGGAACACGTAAATATTTTGTTTATATGAATATAAATATAATTTTATTTTAATTATTTATTTACTTAAACAATTATTTACCTATGCACTTTAATTTTGTTCCACAGTAATGTAACTCTCTGTCGTAAAACACATTTATACGCGTATATCCACCAACTTTTATAATCTTTTAATACTGTATTTGTAGGCCGAATATCCCGAAATAATCTATAGATAATAAATACAAAAAAAATCAATTAAATTGAGTCAAATTCTAATGTTTTTAGTTCTCACTTAACAATCCACTAAAAGTTACAACACATTAATAAATACTGTAAATATAATCTATTAGCCTTATATACTGTAAATACATTATATTTAATTCAATAACATATAGCTAAATATGTATTCTGTTTATCACCCTATTTATTATTGCTAATTACCTTTGTGATGCTCTTTTAAATTTAACACATTATTCTTTATATACATGGTGTAACTAAAAGACCTGACAAATGAAAAATGAAAAATGTATACTAGTTAAACCTTAAACATATAAAAAAATTACGAAAATTATATAAATAATTTAAGATTTACATTGGTCTAAATAATTCGCAAACAGAATATTTTGAAGAAATGTATTATTATATTTTAATGGAATTGACTGAAAATTTAAAAATATTGATATTTTAAATAATTAACTAATAACTTGACTTAAATAAAAGTTTTACTATCAAAATGTTTCTATTAGTTAGATTTACAAATTTCAATAAAAATTTCAAACACATTTTTAAAAAATATATATTTTCATTAATATTTTATACCATCAACGTTTAAAGTTTTTTGTTTTTTTGAATTCAACATAAGGTCTAATTTCATATTCTAAAGCAAAATATTTTTCTAAGTATTTCGATACATAAAAATCAAATTTTGGACGAGTATTTTACGAGTTATAAGTATTTTAAGTATAAATGAGCAAATATAATGGTATGCAACTACTCTGAAAAATTTTGGTTCTCTTTAATCCGCTTATCAAAAATGCAGCTACTTAAAAGACGTTATAAGTTATAACTCATAAACTACTATTCCTAAATTCAATGTCTTTGAATGTATTGAAGAACTAGATCATAGTACTTTCTGCTTTAGAATATGAAATTAAAACCGTATGCTGTTATTCAAAAAAGAAAATACTTAAATAATTTGAGGGCAAAAAATCTTAAAAAAGATATGTATATATTTCTTAATATTGTTATTTAACTACTAGATACCATGTAAAAAATATTTTTTCATAAACATTTATAATTTTTAAATATTGAGAGTTCAACAATAAAATTTGCTATCATTCAAAAAAGTGAAAACTAAAATTAATAAAATATAAAAATAAAATTTGAAAATAAAAATTATTTAGGTACCTATATTAAAAACAAAAAAAAAAATATTGATTAGAACAAAAGTTATTTCAATAGACAGGTCATTCTTGATATACCTTGTACAATATGTACATATTACAAGGTTTACACTTAATATAAAATATGCATATCAATATTTGTGTTCTATATAACCTCTTATATTTAATTGAAGTATATTTATTTTTATAAATTTAGCTTTCGCCTATTTCGTTAAATAATAAATAAATATTATAATTATAATATTAATGCGTATTTGCTTAATGAATTATGATTTGTATTTTGTATAAAAATTGTTAAAATAAATATGTAATACCTATTGTAATCCATTTTATAGATATTGTATAGTATATATTTATCTATTATGAATATATTAACCTATTAATCTCTGCTAATTTCATAAATTCTGCCGTTTCCATCAGTGCTACAAATTGTTTTCTGGACATTTGTAAAGCTGCGTCTTGGAGAACAAAGTCAACAAGTAATTTAGGAACTCTGACTTCATTTGACTTATTGACAATAATTTTGATTTTTAATACAACTGGTTTCAATACTAATTAAACAAAAAACATTATTGAAATAAATAAATCACGTATACAAGTAGTGTGCTTAGAAATTTTAAGTAGTTACTAAATTCCAAGGGTTCTTCGTTGATGTTAAAGTTATTAAGACCTGATCTCATCTTATCCTGCCAATCTGATACCATAGTTTTATTAGTATACAATAAAGTTGAACACATTGTATTACAATAAAATGAAGCAGAATCAATTTTGACGATTTGATACACTGAGGTCTGCCCATTTTGTTGTGACAAAATTGGCTTCCACTTGCTGAAATCAAAAAATAGTTAAATCATAAAAGTTCATATTTTTTTCGATAAAATAAATAATCTAAAACCTGTTGGTTGTTTCCAGAGAAATTGATTGTATACATAGACCTAAAGCTCTCGGGGAATCTGTATTAGTCATTGAATCTTCAAATCGAATATGAACACCTCTAATATATATTTGCAAATTATTCATAACAGTTGTTATAAGAGTTTCAAGAAACCCACCATTTTCCATTGAACCTAATTATAAGTATATATAAAATTAATTTTTCGTAACTATAAAATACTTAAATAAAGGATATAAGCCTATAAGGCTATAAATCTAAAACTATTAGAAACTAATTAATATAATATGCATACTAACCATTTCCGAATATTGATAAATTGTCGATACTTTCTAAAATTCTTTTCTTCGCAGCTCTCGCCAAACGTTTTTCCAATTCTGTATCCCATTCTCTATCTATAACTTGTCCCGCGACTATGAATATTTCCTAAAAATTAATTTATTTATAATTATGCAAATTTAAATTTGAATAATATTTTAATACTTCGATTTTTATAACTACAGGTTGGCTTGAAAGTCCATTCCATGGTATGTTCACATTGAATTTTCCTATTGATCCAGCTTTCACTTCTATAGGCAGTCCAAGTTCGTACTAAAATCGAAAAAGATCATACTATTTTTATTTAAATATCAATAAATGTAAATTCCTTACCAAAGCTTCAGTTTTTAACTTCAAATTTGACAGAAAAACATTCCCTCCGAATATGCCAACATTTAAGTTTTCTAAGTCCAAATCTTCGATATATTTGCCCAAGTATCTGTTCAGTAACGATGCAACAATACCCTCAAACATGGTTTAAGGATATTTGCATAAAATGCGATTTTATTTTACCCTTTTACTTACATATTATAGTAGAATGATTGTAAGTGAAAAACTTCCGTATGGAACTTAGGACTAAGGCATGTGGTGAACCCTAGCGAGGAGCTTTGAAAGTTCGGACATTATTGATCCATTTAAACACGTGGGAACGGGCGCGTTGACGTCATTCAGAACTAATATATAGCTAATATAGAGAATTCAAAAATACAATAATAAATCTGCTAAAAATACTTCAAATTCGTAAAAAATTTACTATAAATAAAACTCTAATTAATATTTATGTGTTTAAATGTATTTTTTAAATATACTAATAATAAATTACAGTAACTTTTAAGGTTCAATCAACAAGTTACAATTATTGACATATTTAGAAAATAAGATAGTACCTATTTAATAATTATTCATTAGATAATATTCACCATTACTCATTTGTCATTAGTAAAGATATATATTTTAGACAAAAAATTTGTTTTTACAGATTGAAAATGTTGAAAAAAATAATGATTACAATTTAATTGAGTTCTATAATAGCGAATACATAATTATTTTTATATACGAATATATAATTAGGATAAAATATAGTTTGTACAGGTAAGTGCAAATTATATTTAATTGTAAAAAAAATATGTACCATTTGTCATTTAAATAACATTCCAATTATGTTTGAATAATTTTAATAAAATAACTAATAAGTTATATTAAGTTACATTTTACATTTTTAATGTTCAAATAAAATATACGATCAATAAACAAGTTGGAAAGTTTCGGTAGGTACCTCGTTCCTATACATATTTGTTTTGTATTGATACATTTTTAAAACATAAATAAAAGGCAGTGTTGTTATTTATTGAAGACCACTTAACTTCCTACGGCCTTGGCTTGTTGCATATTGTACGAGAAACATCAATATTAATTCATATTAAAATAATATGGCTATGTCATCAACAATTACGGGTTAAAATACCAATAACATAAATACTTAAATAATACTAGAGAATATTGTTTAGCTTTCCAACAATATATGTGTATGTATGATAATTGTTATACCTATAGTCTATGTTGTAGTTTAAAATAAGTATGTATTTTCTAGATGGTTTCCTGTAGTTAACCTTAACAACAAATAAACAATTACCTACCTATTCAAACAATTGTTCCGAGCCTTGATAAAGATTTAATAACTATAATAATTTACCAAACCTATAGTATGGCCTATACATGCCTGCATTGTCCTTTTTACATAAAACAGAAAAATTGTGTATAAAAGCAAGTGGACAATAAATCTGTACTTAGTGTTCATTTTAGAAGATCTAACTTCTAGTTGTCACTTGTCAATAAACTTAATGAGATATTAATTTAACAGTTAAAATGCAAAAGGTGGTTTTTATATGTATTTTTGCGATCATCTACCAAACTGTGTTTGTAAGTGTGTTAACATTTTTACTCGTAAATTAAACAAAATATAAAATAAAACTGAAAATGAATACCTATAATAATAAAATATCAATACCAAAGAGTACTAAAAAGTATATCTCATAAGTTACATGGTTTTATAGACTGTTGGGTACGAGAGAACATGGATTTTACGCCAAAAACGAATGACAAATGATGATGAATGCCGAACTCTCCTTCCAAGCTCGGAAAAGGTACCTATGCTATAAACTTATAAATATTGAAAAAAAGTAAAATCTTCCTTTTTTGTAAAATGTATGTTCTAAATACCAGGCATTGACTTGCGAAACTTATAAATAAATTTAATTGTGAATATCTTTGGGTATAATAACTGTGTAAAAGCAGAGCAGAAGTAAAACAAGCAAATATAGGACGCAAATACCCACACACCCAAGAAATTTATTACAGAATGGTCGATTTTAAAACCTAGGTATAGCCTTTTAATATATTCACAGTGATATTTTTAGAAATAAACTAGCATAACTAAATAAAACTACCTATAATATAATTATTATATTCCATCTCACCAGCCACCACCATTATAATACCTATGTACTATGTAGGATAAAAATATATGTCCTACATATAGGACAATATAGCCTATAGGTAATGTAGGCTTCGACGCCACTGGTGTCTGCAGGTTGAGGTATATTTTAAGCTTTTGATATCCACAGAAATTTTTACCACGGATAATTTTATATTTGTATGACACAGGATCAAAAAGTTCACGACACTACCATCTTTTGAAACGGTGGTGGGGTTGTCAGGAATATATTATAATGGAGTATTGAAATTAGTGAATTAGTGAATTGTGGAATAGTAAGATAATATGAAAATTGAAATGAAATTTTAGAGAGGAGCTTCGCTAAATGATCGACAGTTTAAATGTATGCAAACTACCTGAGTAGATAGATATTTAACACTAATTAAGTTTCAGATAAGGCAAATGGAATGGATCATAACTTGAGGGGTATAGCAGTATATTGTCATTCCCTTCAGGCCTATTGTTAAAATATATCCTATACCTCCTATCAAAACTAATAACTATTGCTGACAGTTACATTTTTTAAATGTAGGTACACGATCGAAAAGACATAAAAAAAATAGATTTATTTTATTTTATTAGGTACCTACCTAATCACCATTACAGTAATTATCATGATTTAATAGATACCTACCTATACAATTTTAAGTACATACATGATACATCTCATTCATTTCTTACATCGTCGTAATTATACCCAATATACTTATTACAATATCCACATAACAATGAATTATTTTACTCTTATAAGTCACAACATATATTTTTTAAATAATTTATATCGGATTTTTACGGTTTACTGCATACATAACATCGATAAATTGCGGTAAGTGGCAATTTATTATGGTAGGTTACTATACCTATAACACAACTGTACTACTACTAGTAGGTACTGTGTAGTTCTATAATACACTACAGTATAAGTAACTATTGCACCAAATGTACCAAATGAAAATTTATAATTATTTTATGAAAATAAGCAAAACAATTAGAAAATAGTTTTATGGAATTACCCTCATAGGAGAATACACGGTCGATACCTATACCCATTTGGGCGTAACACGTTTCCACCAAAAGTGTACCTTTCCCTTTTCCACCAATACTCGTTTCCACCAAATGAGATATTGACCACGTTTCCACCAAGACAAGTTATATATAATACGCTTATAAGTTATATTAAAAACTGCTAAAATGTTCAAATTTAATAAAAAAAAAAATTATACAATATATGGTTTAAAAGTTAGGATGAGGCAGCTAATAATAATATAACTGTATTCCGGTATTAAATAGTTTTTTTAACCTATATAGAGTTTAATACAATATAATATACTAAATGTATTAATTAAAACAAAATATTGTTTTAAATTACAGGTATGATTTTGTGAAATCTATATCATACAATTTTTAAAAAAATATCCACTAATTATTATAAAGTAACATTTTACTATTATACAATATTATTAAATCTTTTTTTTTTTATTAAATTTATACATTTGACAATTTTAAATATTATTATTATTATAAGGTAATATATACATCTAAATTATGTTCTTTATTAATTTATTACTTTTTAATAGCTTTTAACATAACTTATAAGCGTAGTATATAACTCGTCTTGGTGGAAACGAGAAAAGGGAAAGCTACACTTTTGGTAAAAACGGGTACCGCCCAAATTTTCAATTCTTATGATACCTAGTACAAATTGCAATTTAAAACATATTCATTGCTATTTACCAACCCGTAGTGGTGTAGGCGTATAACCCTTAATATACTTTAATCATTTATTCACATGGAAATACGTCTACTACTGTCTACTAATATAATACTATTAATACTATGTAGTATGTTTGCTAAATTAATATCGTGTACGCCGTCTATAGCTTGTGAGCAATCAACATTATTAATCATGTATTCGTATATAGATTAAATTTGACAGTAATACAGTATGACACATACATTAGATACGTAAAATATTTCAATAATCTATAGTCTATACTTCAACTACGCATTCTGAAAATTTGTTTCATAAAAATTAAAAAATAAATAACTATAATAGTAATAGTTAATATCAAAGTTCTTATTGAAATATATTTTAAATAAATTATAAATGTATGAACGAAAAATAGTGAAACTACCTATAACCTAAAGGTACCCATATAAAAGTTATAAATTATAATATTACCCACAGAGCCGGCCGAGCAACAGTAGTGATCCTTGCAATATGACAAGTTTGTGCCTCCCTAATCCTAAAAACGTATCAAATTTTGAGCTCTTCCACTTATTTCATATGCTGTGCCCGGCGCCTGGCTTTGATTAAATATATAATGTCTAACTATATATAAATATGTATTTTTATTTATATTATATCCAAACAGAAATTACCTTCGTGTTGTCAAATGCCAAATATACTACCCGGGTTGGACAGTACTTGGGAAAAATGTTATGAGAAATTCATACAATTCAAGGATAAACCTGAAACAAAAGAATATAAAGAAATGTCACATGGAAAAGGTAATTAGAAATTGGTATTTGGTGTTAACTTCACTCATGACTCAACATCCAATGGTTCCTCTACTACAGTATTGCAATGTATGTGACAAACTATCATAGGCGGAGATCTTGTGAAATATTAAGGGGGGCTCAAATATTTGATGACAAACAGACCCGTGGGGGCATTGCCCCCACACCCCCAACAAACTAAGTTTTACATTAGATCACTCATAAAAAAATCTTCTCGTTGACTCGTTATCATAACAACTTAAATAGTTACAAACATAAAAAAAAGAATAATTAATAAACGATTTAAATTTAAATATTTCAAACATATTTGAACTAAATTATTTATTAAAAATCTAAATCACAATCTCAAAAGAAATGTATTCCCAAGAACATCAAACAATAAGTAAAATATTATTTAGTATAAAATGGTTAACGATTCATTCAATCGCGATAAACTTTACGATAGGTTTAATACAGCTATAGCGATAGTCCTATATAATAGCTATCGCTTCTCGAGAATTAACAAAAATTAGGAAAAGAAATAATATTTTTCCCATCTAAAATAGAATATTAGAATGGTATAATGTTATTCAATATAGATGGCCAATTGGTACAAAATATCAAAATATGTACAATATTAGGTATATAAACACAGTATAATATTATTGTGAATTGTGACTTAATTGTTCGGTATATTACCGTAAATAATAAATTGGTAAATAGTGTGTGTGAAATGTACTAGGTACTGCACTTATATAATTGTGGATACAAGAATATAAAATAATGAAAAAAGTTCTGCAAACTGTACAAAATTACGGTATTGTTTGTTTAATATTCTTAGGGGGTATTTAACTTCAAATCATTTATTTTGGGGGGACTAAGCCCCCGTAAGCTCCTCCCCCCTCGATCTCCGCCTATGCAAACTATTCTTTTAGTTTAAATTGTAATTATGTTTAACCTATAAATTGTTATAGATACAACTGAAATTATGGTAACTAATGTTTACTATAAATTGTCGGAATCATTATTCTATAAATGTATTATATAAATGTTTATACTATAATCATTTTTATAACAGATCAATATTATATTATTTAATAAATAGGATACTTAATTTTGCTTTTGGTGTTCACTGATCACATTCTTTAGTTACTCGGCCATGGCAATCTGTATTTCTGTACCGGATATCTTATATGTTATATACTTTATTATGTAATTATTACATGTTTAAGGTGACCTCTTCTAATATATCTAACAAATAATAATTTAAAAATGATTAAGTCAATTTATTTATTAGAGCCACCATGTCTATTTCAATGTATTTTCATGGAATCTGGATTAACTGTAAGTATAAAATAAATACAATATATATAAAAAATAATTGAAAAAATGTAATATTAGACTAATGACGGAAAACTCAATGAAGATGCCATCACAAAAAAAATGACCGAAGGAATAAACAATGATGAAAAATGGAAGTCTACATGGAAGAAGTCTCTCGATAAATGCTTTGATGATGGTGAATTAATATAAATGGTAATTTGTAGGTAGGTATTATTATTAATTAAAGTATACATTTTTTGATTTTAGTCAAACAAGAAGATAAGAAACAAATTCTAATCATGAATACTCCAGCAGGAAGATTGATGAAATGTTTCTTAAGAGATATATACATGGTAAAATGTTTATTATTTAATTTATCCGTTTCGGAATGATGAAATTATGATATATTTCAAGTTTAAAATATTACCTGTTATAACAAATATTGTTATTTTAATTTAAAAAAATTTTACAACATGCACTGTTAAAATTGTGATTATGGCTGCAGCTGAATAGTTTGTGTAAAATCAAATGTTCTGGGTATTTTAACATTTGAATTCAATAGTTAAAACTTTGAAATCATTAAAATACATTAATGTTTGTTACCTTGTAAGATCATTATTTGACAGCAATCATTAACAATTAACATAACATTTAATTCTTAAAAAATGTTACACAATAAAATTGTTGAATAAGTTTCAATAATAATTTTTGAAGCATATAAAGGTTAAAAGAACTATTATCAATTAGAAAAAAACGATTTAATATTTACATATTATATTATATAGATTGTAAATTGAAACATAAACTGCTCTAATTTTTATATTTCTGAATAGTGATCACCATAGATAATAAGTACATTATAAAATGTGTGCATTTCCTCATATTAATTTGGTTATTATTTCAGAACTGCCCAGAAAATGTATGGGTTGAAAGTAAGTAAAGTGTTAAAGAAATTGTTTGCATTAATTTAACTATTTTATTATTTTCACAGGCTCAGAATGTCTGAATGTGAAGAATTTGGTGCAAAAATGTCCAGAAATGCCCCCGCCAGTATTCCAATCCGCACCCAAATTAATTTAATTAGGAAAATTACTCATCTATACTAGTAAAGTACATTTTTAAGATTAAAAAAAGTACTTCTTTTAAGTTGAATGTAATAGATTAATAATAAATACTTTAGAATTTAAAAAAAAAACGGTTTTTTATTTAATTATTTTTAATTTTGTTGAATAACTTGAATTTATGTGACAAAAATTGAAACAAATCTTAATTTAGAAAGACTTAATGAACATCTATGAGGGAGAGGTTTATGAAAAAACAAATATCAATAGGCACATAAGAGGGTAAAGAGTGCATAGGTACTTTTGATAGACAAGCTATTACATTTCAAAAATAAATACAAAAAACTATATTTAAGAATTTATTGAATTGTTCAGACTCATAATAACATCCCGTATCCAAAAGTTCTTTTAATTGGTGTGAAGTAGTATCTTTCCCAATTTTGACGAGTAATAGCTTCATCACTGAAATTAAAAATATTTAATGTAAAAATAAATGGATTTTACAAAAATAATTATAAATCATAATATAATAACCTTTTAGGCACTCCTACAAGAGCAACTCTAACTTTAGTATGGTCTTCTTGTTGATTAATAGTAACAGTAACAGTAGAGTATAGCCAATCAGGCCACTGTTTAGTTCTCCAATTTTGAACAATTTTTTTGCCAGGGCACTGGAATAATTAAATAAAGATAATATGCATTAATATCGACCTCAAGAAAAATTTAATTTACTTACAAGTTCTATGAATTCACCAGTAATATTTCCATCAAACAACTGAAATTTTCCACCTTTAATTGCTTGAAATGTAACAGATTGTTGAGTAAAAGCTGATACAAGCTAAAAAGAAATAATTTACAATTTTTCCAACTATTTTTTTTTTTTACTTATGACATTGATATACTAACCTCTGGTGTTGTGAGTGCATTGTAAAAATCTTCACCAGAACACTGGAATACTACATCCATTACAACAGTAGTAGTATCTACTTTAGATTTTGAATTATCATCTTTTGCACCCTATAGTCATAATTATTTATTAACTTAATTAGTTATATCAATTTCTATAACTGTAACAAGCCTTACGTTTTCGGAATTGTGAACATCTTTCAAAGATTCTTTTGGCAGTAATTTTGTTTTAGACGAATTTTCAATATCTTTTTTGGGTAAAATCATACCTTTTGAAAATTCTAGAATATATAAGTGATTACTCGTTAGTAATGTAAAGGATGTACATTTATAGTTTAAATTTAATTATTAAATTTATAGTTTAGAATTGGTTGTTATGTAATTTTTATAATATAAAAAAATGTATGTCACCAGCATAAAATTTACTTTTAAGCTCAGAAATACCTAATAAATAAATAAAACAGGAAAATCAGTCTTCAAGCATTTCCAATAAGATTCAAATGATGGAAAAAAATATATTTTGTTGTATAATTAGATTAATAGATTAAATTACCAATTTAAGTAATTGTATCATAAATTATTAATTTAAGTAGGCACCTAATAATCTTTTATAATAATAAATGTTATCCATCAACTTTCATAAAATGAAAGTATAAAAATAAATATATCTGATTTATGAAACAATTTTTTTGTATCCATAACCATTGTTACTAACTATATAGGCAGACACAGATTAAATCAGTGGTGCAGCGTGTGTTTTGAGAAAGTGTAAGCAGAAAAACTAGTGTATTGGAAATTCAATATTATGAAAATTGTTCAAATCATTTGCAACCATACTTCGACCAAATATTAGATTCATGTGAAAATACTGTACAAGGCCAACAGTATAATTTTTGAGTATATTGACAACTAGATAGCCATTTGTTTGAATCGTAATATGAAAAGTTAAAATACCGAAAATTTTTTTTACATTTTGTTTTCAAATCTTAAAGTTTTGGAGTTGGTCTACTATTATTTATAATATTCTGTTTTTCAACAAAAGTATACGACCCAAACAATTTTACTAATAATTGTTAAATAATACATTTACAATAATTATTAATATTAATTCACACCTGAAGAACATGAAGGCAAATCCATTTGCATTGTAAAATAATTAAATAAGTCTATATAATTATAAATCTATTATTTAAAATACCAATACAAAAATAATAATCATGTACATTGAATGAATCCAAACACTGCAATGCAATCGCACAAATGTACTCAGCTGTCGGTTATCGTTTTATCAGAAATAAAAATAATAATAAACCGTTTGGTACTGTGGTGTATGCAAAATCATAAGTGCTTACAAATTGCTTTTAAATACGAACCCCCCCTACGACATTGTACGTATATCGTGCCTATTAGCTCACGTAAGCAGTTTCAAAACATGTTACACTACGGCACGACGCGTCAATATCAAATATTAATAGAACGAAAATAAATTTTCCATCGTCTGTCTTATCCAACAATCGACGACGACGACCAAAACATGACGTGTTCCTCAAGATTTTCATCTTATATTCTAAACATATTATTTAATATTTTTATTATTGTTGAAAACAAAAAAAAAAGTAGTCAATGATTTAATTTGAAATGCAATTTGTTATTATAATAATATTAATATTAATATATATTTTTCCTAAGTGTAAGCAGTGCTTGCAGTGCTTACATGCACACGCTACGCCCCTGGATTAAATTGTCTATACTTGTTTCACAATGTAAAATACAAAATAGTAAAATACATCATAAAATTAGTACAGAAAATAGATTATTGAAGTTTTTGAAAAAATAGTATCATAGTATTTCATATTACATGAAAACATAAAAATTGACTGGGATGAGTATTTTGTAAAAATAATCATCTAATTATCAATTATGATACATACAGGGTGCCTACTGAGTTTGAAAAGAATTATTCGAGGACTTTTCTGAAGATAAACAGCATAAAAAAAAACAGGTAATCAAAATTTTTAGAACTGGAACACACCTTTCAGTAATTTATAAACCCAAATTAATACTATTAAATTAAAAGTTAATTGTAATTACATTGTTTGGTATCAATATCTCAATTTTATTTTATTTTAAATTATAATTTGTATAAATAAAAAAAATTGGTAGGTAATATAATATAAGTTTTTGGAAATATTTTTTATTTACTTCCAAATTTGTACCTTCTTTTAGATCCTTTATATATTTTTCAAGCTGATCTCTGATTTTACTACGCCCTTGGTGATAGAGAAAATCTTTAACTATGGTTGCTTCATTGGAAGGTTCTTTCAATGAAATATTTATCTGTTACCAAAGTAATTCATTTTTAATAACACTGATATAATAACTTATTATTAAAAATACTAATAAGATAATAATAAACACAGAAACTACAATCAAATAAGCATTAATACCTCAATTTCAGCTACACTATTTTCTTCACTTAAATTTGGTATGTTTATTGTGCCCTCTATTTCTTTGGCAGTACCACTTAATTGCCCTTTCCAGCTTAATGTTAAATCCCACTCATAAAAGAATATGAGCTTGCCCTTTCTATTATTTGCCACAGCTTCTCCTTCACAACTTTCAATCTTTGAAATCTCACATTTAGCTACATCATTTTCTAATACCATACCAACTAATAAGGCATTAAGTTTGTCTTTTGACCACTGGCATGCATTTTTTTCTGTCCTAAAAACAAATGAAAATAAACAAACCTTAGTTTTGTTATGAACTGTTTTATGTATTAGGGTCAAAAGTTAAAATAATGCCTACCTATAGATGCTATAACAAAACAATAATATCAATTTAAAAAAAAAATTGATACATATTTTAAATTTTAGTTAAGAGGGAATATTTCAAATTGACATAACTTATTATTGGTCATAATAGATACTTTTTTGAACATTTTCTAATGTACAGAAAAATTAATAAAAGCAATAATAAATCAAAAATGTAATATAAATTGTTTAACAAATCATAATCTAATAAAATTTACAAGTCAATAAATATATATATTTTTAAATCTTACTCTTATTCGTTTCAAGTATTTACCTAACTTAATTTTAAAATTAACCAGGTATTTAATTAAGCACATTTTCAAGTTTTTGCAAATTGATGATACCCAGGTATTTATAAAGAATTATAACACAGATTGAACATTTACAATAAAATGTAATGAAATGATTTATCTTTTAGAAACAAATCTAAACCCAAGAATTATTATTTTATACAGAATGCATGAAAATAATTTAACAAATTACCAATGCCAGTTGTTTACGTTAGTGGCGTCTGGACGTTCCTCAACAATCCATCGTGGATCTCCTTCACCCCATTTAGCCATCTATATAATTATGAAAATACATATATATATTATATTAATAATGTACTAAAAGAATATAAGGTACTTAATGACAGATAAATTTAATGAATAGTTTGACATAAGAAATACATCACTAGATGATTTATAAAATAAGAAATTATGTTAAGATTCTTACTATGAATTGATTAATGAATCAATACAAGTGAAAATTCTCAATCAAATGGTAATGAAATATAATTTTTTAAGAAATCCTCGTAAATGTTCTGCACCACCGCCGACGGAATATTGGAAGCGATGGAGAAACAGCGCTTAAATTTTGATATTTCAATGAAAGAATTAAATCAAGTTAAGCTTAAGACATGGAAAATTCTAGAATATTTTACAGTGTGACCAAGTTGATAAGAAACTAATATACCAGAGCGGACAACAATAGATATTATTATTCGGGATGAGAAGCTAGCGATCGAAAGAATTTAATGACAGATTATTCGGTTAAAGAAAATAATTAAATAAATATTAGAAAAATAAATAATTACCTATTTTACTTTTTGTATTAGGTACTTAACTAGAAATTCCTTCGTAACTACATTGTCGATTGTTCACTCCGCTTGGTACTATCGAAGCGACGGTAGTCTTTAAATCGTGTTTGGAATTTGAATACTTGGTTCTAATATTACAATAAATATTTTAATATTTTTAGGAAAGATTGAAATAGACACATTTTAGTCCAAAAAAAATTGTTTGAATAATAATGGACCCGCCTTTATATGACTATTGCAGTATTGCCTAATGTTTATTGCCTATATGCTTATTATTATAGTGTATAGATAAAATGTACATAAAATAATATCAAGATGTTGATGTGAAAATTTAATAGTTTTTCTACCTTAATCGAACAGAAACATTTACCGGATAGCGAAAAGTCACATAAATGTTGTATGAGAGTTTAAACAATAAATATATATATCTTAATACTGCAACAATCGACACTATTTACTGGTAAGTA